CGGGGGGGCGGCTAGGAGTGGTGAGCCAGGGGGGTGGGAGGAGCAGTAAGCCTGGGGAGCGAGGGGGCTGGAGGAGCCTGGGGGGTGGTGGGGGCAGAGGGCCGGCTAGGAGCAGAATGCCTAGGGGACTGGGAAGGGGGCAGGAGTGAGCTTGGGGAGTGAGGGGAAAGTTGGGAGGAGCAGTGAGCCTGCTGAGAGGGGACGGGGACAGGAGAAGCAGTGAGCTTGGGGAGTCAGGGGTTGAAGGAGGAGCAGTGAGTCTGGGGAGTGAGGGGGGATGGGAGGAGCAGTGAGCCAAGGGGGGCAGAAGGAGTGGGGACCGGATGTCCTCTTTATGGTTCCCCTAATCTAAATGAAGGTTAATGTGCAAAATGAAGTGCATTTGTCAAAGTGGTCAATAGGAGGCAAATGGTAATGCTGCTATTAGAGTAGCCCTCATATAGGAAAAGGTCTTTATCTGGGTCACGTGATGTGGTAAGATTACAGGCTTATTACAGCAGAGTTTGGTCTTGGCGGGGGCAGAAGGAGCAAGGGAGGGAGGGAGGCCGCTCCCCCTGACTCTCCTCTGGGAGGGAGAGGGAGCCTCCTGACTCTCTGTCCATCTTTCTGACAGACCCCTACGACTCCTCCTCCGGCTCTCTGCAGCTCATCTCCATCAAGCCTATGGCGGCTCAGCCCGCCTACTCACATCCACCATCATCGGACCGCAGCCAGGATTCGGCCATCATCAACGGGGAGGTGAGCCTTAGCACTGTGAACTCAGACATTCTGGACACTTACATTCACCTGGCTGTTTGTGGATGGATATAAATACACTCAGTGGCTGGTTTGTTAGGTAAAGAAACAGCCAATCATACCTCCAAACAGGCAGTCATGTGACTGTAACCGAATACATAAGCTCAGAGGGTTCATTTAATGGTTGGCTGAGCAGTAAAATGGCTAATAAGCTTGATTTCAGTCATTGTAATGATGATTGTTTGTGGTTGACACTTCTCATGACACTTCTCAGATACAGAATTTCGTGTCTAAAGTTTACCGAGGATGGCGCAATAAACAAAAGACACCCAGGCAGCCATAGTACTGTGGGTAAAAACTCGCTGTTAATGAGAGAGGTCAGAGGAGAATGGCCAGACCGGTTAAAGCTAACAGGAAGGTCACAAAGTGCAAAAAAACAGCTCAGTGTAACAGTGGCGAGCAGAAAGGCTTCACTGAACACACAATTCACTCACCAAGCCCTGCGGTGATTCAGGGGAAAAACAGGGTACTATTCAGTGTTAGATACATACAGTATACCTAATACACTGGGCAAATAATCAACCAGAGATTTTCAACCGTGGTGGCCAATCTTATCCGCAAAGGCCCAGTGAGTATGCAGGTTTTTGGGATAACCTTTAGGTCAGATGGTCAAACCCAGGTGTGAGGACTCTTCAGCCAATCCGTCCTCTAATTAGTAATCTAATAGGGAGTTGCAGCAAAAACGGGCCTTTCTGGATAAGATTGTTCACTCCTGTTTTATACCAAAGTGAACTTGAAAATAACCTCATAAAAATGGCACTGACTGAAGAACCCCCCCCCC